TTAAAATTTAATATATTCTGACCACAGCATCACATGTTTTAAAACGGTGAAAAATGTTTTTTTACCATCCCTAATTATAAGCTTTTTTCGTTTAAAGAATTATTTTATAAACTATATAGTACATGTTTATTATATAACATATTTGTGTTTGTTGGAAATTTATTACCATACTTTTAAAGTCAATACTTTCTTACGTACACGCTTATTATATTAAGAATTTTAACGAGTTATCACGAGTTGTCATTATTTTAGCCCGTAAAAATTTTAAAAATTATAATAATTTATAAAGATTATAAAAGCAAATGAATACGATTATTTGAATTCAAAACAATAATATTAGAAACTAAAAGTTATGAAGCAATGAAGGGAAATGTATCTTTTTGAAAATAAAAAACACTATTCGAGTAGAAATAACGTTATTAAAAAATTCTATTCAAAATTTAGAAGTTATCAATTTTTTAATTGGTACAAATTACTTGGGCTGATTAATGCGCCAACAACCAACAACACATTCGGCGAAAATTTCTTGTGATGACGTTTAATTTGGAACACTATTTTTTTTATATGCGATTATATAAAAATACTATATTTTTGAAGTTAAATAACAAAAAATTATTATAAATTTTTAAAACATAAAGCCGCCAAGTTGCTAAAAATTAGTGGCTTTCTTTTTTTAATATCTTTTTTAGAACTAAAATTAGTGGCTTCTTTTTTTAATATCTTTTTTTAGATCAAAAAGTTATTAGTTTTTGAAGTTAGTGTAGTCTTTAAGTGTCGTGTACTGTAGCAAAAAAATTTCTCGTAAAATTTTGGTATATAACCACTAAAACTTTAGCTAACGCTAAGTCATCACATTTTAATTCCATCCAATAGAAATTTGAAAGGAATTCAAAATCATTAGTGTAAGACCCTAGCCGGCTTATAACTAGGGTACCTGGTATATTTGGGCATACCATTTGGCTTAGCATTAAATAAATTTACCGTAATGATGAAATTTGGGTAATACATTATATACGAAATGTGCAAATTTGGACAAATAACATCCTCAAAATTTTAGGTGTACCGGGCACCTCTTGGATCGGGTAGTTGCCCCTTACGTACGTCCACAATGTTCGAAACATCCTATTCTTAGTTAAACCTGTACTTTAATGCGCATAGCCATGCATCCCCGTGATGAAACATTGAATAAAATGAATTTATTTCAAGGAAAAAAAAGCCACTTTCAGCAATATAATACATTGCATTACATACAGTACACCTTTAAGTTCTACCATAATTTCAACATTGAAACGTTGGTAAATTCCTTTTGACATATTTATTTTACGTAAAGGTAAAGTGCTAGAATATTTATTTATTATAGGAAGCTGTTTCTCGAAATTAACTAGTTAAATAACGTAATTTTGTTTGTCTTGTTTAGGAATTAAAGCTATCCAAAATTCGACTTCATCTATCTGTAAGCATTCTTTGAAATTACGTGCCTTTATACATTAAGAACGGTTGATTCTGATCACCTTATTTTGTTCTAGATAAATCTCGTTTAAAGTCTGCATTATTAGGCGTGAAGTATCTCTTTAGGTTGTAATCATACGTTCAGTAATGCTTGTGTAATTCTTAAAGACTCTGTACGGCGCTACACTAATAACACGTGAATTTAGTTTTTGTGGCATAAATAATTGACAAATTCTATATTTCAAACTAAAAGCTATTGTCATTATGTCGTCTTCACTAAATGAAGCTGCGGTTGAAGAAGAAGAGCTTTATTCCAGTTGGGCTTTATTGATCCAAACTGTTTTATTAATTCTTGCATTATGGACAAGTTACTATTTACAAATAAAACAAATTCGATCTATTCATGAGACGGTTATATCAATATTTGCCGGTATGAATAATTTTAATAGGTTATAGTCTTAATTTATCGTTAATATTAATAATTTATAAATTTACAGGAATGCTTGTTGGATTGATTATTCGACTTTCTCCCGGCTACATTATCCAAAAGATGGTCTCCTTTAAGTATTCTTACTTTTTTAATCTTCTGTTACCTCCGATTATTTTAAATTCAGGGTATGAAATGAAAAAGGTAATCTTGATTAAATCGCAAGTATTTAAAAGGCCAAGCGTATTTACTGATTTAATTTATTAGGAGAAATTTTTCAAAAATCTGGGGGCCATCCTATCCTTTGCACTTCTAGGTACTTTTATCTCTGCGATTGTAATCGGGTATTTATTTAAGTTATTAAATATATCAGTCAGCTATGAATCTAATGGAATTTTGGATCCATTAATAAATCATTTTTGAAAAATCCGTTATATGATTATATATGTGTTTTTTTTTCATATACTAATATACATATAATGTATTTATAATAAAATTTTAATCCGTTATATCCATAGTTGACTGTATTTCTTTTCCGATACGGGCTCCTTCGCTAAAAATATATTTTATTAAAACTTTATAGCATTTTGACGGCGATATTGGCCTGGACTGGAATAGATTCTTTGTCCCTTACCCTACTTGACTCTATGATTTTTGGTTCAGTTCTTTCAGCAACTGATCCTGTGACTGTACTTACAATATTTCAAACACTGAAGGTTGATCCACAATTGTATTCAATCATTTTCGGTGAGAGTATATTGAACGATGCCACCGCCATCGTACTTTATGAGTAAGCAACTATTATATAAAAAATTTGAGCTTTTTGTCAGACAATTTATATCTCAACTTGCTTTTTCCAATGCTTTTGGTTATAAGAACTCTAAAACAATACCGCGGGGAAGAATTTCATATTACAAACATTTCTCATGGTATTCTTTCTTTTTTTGTCAACTTTGGAGCTTCCTTATTCCTTGGAGTTCTATTTGGAGCTTTGAGCGCTTTGATATCCTTTATATTACTTTGCATTACATGCTTTTACATGCTTTTACATACTGTTGAACTTTCTAAAACTGATATTCATGATGGGCATATGTTGTATCTGCATTGAGAGGTTATTAAATATTGAAAACGTTAAACCATTAGATTTATATGCAGAAAAGGACTCGGTAGTTTAATTTTCTTTCAGATTTAGCAGGTCATCAGTTTGTCAGGAGGAGGAGGTTCAGCAGTACTTTTAAATGTTTCATAGTTCCTTAACTGGTATGTTTACATGTTGAAGTATTCAAAATTATATAGGTTTCCTGCCATTGAATCATGTATCATTGCACTGATGGCATATGCTTCATACTTGTTTTCTAATGGCTGTCATTTATCTGGTATGCAGCTTAACACTTGCTCAAATTTTATGTTCATACTTTAAATGTATCTTACTATCATAATTACTCATTGTAGGCA